GGCACGACACACTGAGGACGACACTTGCGGCTCTTGGGTTCGCTCCCTCCACTGCTGACCCGTCACTGTTTCTACGCACAGACACCTCGCTGCCGCCGTTCTACATCCTCGTGTACGTCGACGACTTGGTCTTTGCCACTGCTGACACCGCGGCACTCGCCCACGTGAAGTCGGAGCTGCAGAGGAGACACACGTGCACAGACCTGGGTGAACTGACAAGCTATCTTGGCTTGCGGATCACTCGGGACAGAGCACGGCGCACCATCACCCTGACTCAGTCACACATGGTGCAGCAGATCCTTCAGCGCTTCCGCTTCACGTACTCCTCGCCTCAGTCCACTCCTCTGCCTACCGGTCACTCGCTCTCAGCTCTGCCTTCGGATGAGTCCGTAGAGCCGAGTGGCCCGTATCCAGAGCTTGTGGGCTGCCTCATGTACCTGATGACCTGCACTCGACCTGACCTTGCATACCCTCTTAGCATCCTTGCACGCTATGTCGCTCCTGGCCGTCACAGGAAGGAGCACATGGATGCCGCTAAAAGGGTGTTGCGCTACTTGTGCAGTACGTCGGCCATGGGGCTAGTGCTTGGAGGGCGAGACCGTGTTGTACTTACTGGACACTCAGACGCTTCTTGGGCGGACGACCAGGCTACTCAGCGGTCGTCTCAGGGTTACACCTTCAGCCTTGGCTCCGGCTCAGTTTCTTGGCGTTCTACACGCTCTTCTTCTGTTCTCAGCTCCAGTTGTGAGGCTGAGATCTACGCCACAGCCATGGCTGCCCAGGAGCTACGCTGGCTGACCTACCTGCTGACCGACTTGGGAGAGCGGCCTCGTTCTCCTCCAGTGCTGTACGTCGACAACCAGGCTGCCATTGCCTTGTGTGAGGAGTACAGACTGGAGCACAGAACGAAGCACATCGCCCTGCGGTACTTCCTTGCTCGAGAGCTGCAGCAGCGTGGTCAGCTTCGTCTGCGTTACGTAGCTACTGAGGCCAACCTTGCTAATGTGTTCACCAAGGCGCTTCAGCCTTGTGACCATCAGCGTTTCTGTACTCTTCTAGGCCTTGTGCCTGCTGGACCTCACTTGCTTACTTCTTGACTCTGCTTGTACTGTGATCTTATATATATATACCTGCATGTTTACACTTGCTAGGTTGTGATCATTGTATCTCTTGCTATATTATGAAACTGCATGTGAACTGGTCTTGTGACCACTTGCTTGTGCTCAGAATTTGTGTGGTATCCTTGAGATCCACCCTGAGCTTACTTTGCTTTGACTGGTCTCATGACCCTGTGGTTGTCTCCCACTGCGCCTATGGGGGTGTGTCAAACATTGTATGTTTATATTGTGTAGGCTGTAGTGGGTTACATGTTAGGGGGTACACAAAGTTAGGGTTTCCTACTTGTACCAAACTCTGAGCTAGTTCATTCATTCCTCGTTCAGTCATTCTAACAAATGATGCGTGTGTCAGAGGTCCACTGGTGATCCCCGATTGATCCTAGGGAAGGGTTACAGGCACGGCGGCCTGGGGGGTTATGGGCGCACTCACCCACTACACAAACAAGCCTTTTTATCCCAGTGGTTAGTGGCTGGGATTCTGACATGTTATCAGAGCGAAGGTCTCGGGTTCGAATCCCGGTGTGTGCACCTCGGGCATCCCAGTGCGGGGGGGTGTCAGAGGTCCACTGGTGATCCCCGATTGATCCTAGGGAAGGGTTACAGGCACGGCGGCCTGGGGGGTTATGGGCGCACTCACCCGCTACACAAACAAGCCCTTTTATCCCAGTGGTTAGTGGCTGGGATTCTGACAGCGTGGGTCGGTTCGGTCAGTATGCACGCTTGTGTGCAGGTACAAGGCGGAGCTGGAGCTTTGAAATCTCCCAAATTATTTGGATCTAAAAAGTTAGAACCCAGTGTTAATAAAGTAGATGGCCTAATCTAGTGGACTGGCAAGAAAATGGTACTAATTGCATCTCTACAAACAAATTGCGCTGGCCAGTTTGGTCGGTATGCGCGCCTGTAGTGCAGGTACCATGCACAACTGGAATGCCTATATTTAGGAAATTACATAGTTCCAAAAGGTTAGAACTTGATAGGGGGTGTGGAATGGTATACTTTAAAAGGAAAAGAGAAATACATTTGGTATTAACTGTTTTTGTACAGAGAAAATGATGGATGGGTCGGTTCGGTCAGCATGCACGCTTGTGTGCAGGTGTAAGGCAGAGCTGGAGCTATGAAATCTCCCAAATTTTGTGGATCTAAAAGATTAGAACCTAGTTTTGGAAAAGTAGATGGCCTAATCTAGTGGACTGGCAAGGAAACGGTACTGATTGCATCTCTACAAACAAAAGTAATGCGCTAACTAGTTTGGTCGGTATGCGCGTCTGTAGTGCATGTACCATGCACGGCTGGAATGCCTATATTTGGCAAATCGCATAGATCCAAAATGTTAAAACTTAGTAGCGGGGTGGGGAATGGTATACTTTAAATGAAAAGAGAAATACATATGGTATTAACGGTTTTTGTACGGAGAAAATGATGCGTGGGTCGGTTCGGTCAGTATGCACGCTTGTGTGCAGGTACAAGGTTTCAGAATCCCAGCCACTAACCACTGGGATAAAAGGGCTTGTTTATGTAGCGGGTGAGTGCGCCCATAACCCCCCAGGCCAACGGGCCTGTAACCCTTCCCTAGGATCATCGGGGATCTCCAGTGGACCTCTGACACCCCCCCGCACTGGGATGCCCGAAGTGCACACACCGGGAATCGAACCCGAGACCTTCGCTCTGATACCATGTCAGAATCCCAGCCACTAACCACTGGGATAAAAGGGCTTGTTTATGTAGCGGGTGAGTGCGCCCATAACCCCCCAGGCCAACGGGCCTGTAACCCTTCCCTAGGATCATCGGGGATCTCCAGTGGACCTCTGACACAAGGCAGAGGTGGAGCTCTGAAATTCACCAAATTATGTGGATTTAAAAGGATAGAACCTAGTGTTGTCGAAGTGGATGGCCTAATCTAGTGGACTCGCAAGAAAATGGTACTAATTGCATCTCTACAAACATAAGTAATGCGCTTGACAGTTTGGTTGGTATGCGCGCCTGTAGTGCAGGTACCATGCACGGCTGGAATGCCTGTATCTGACAAATTACATGGATCCAAAAAGTTAGAACTTGGTAAGGGGGTGGGGAATGGTATAAGAGCAAATCATATGGTATTTGATGTTTTTGTATGGAGAAAATGATGCGTGGGTCGGTTGAGTCAGTATGCACGCTTATGTGCAGGTACAAGGCGGAGCTAGAGCTGAAATCTTCCGAGTTATGTGGATCTAAAAGTTAGAACCTGTCAGAATGTTGTATTTGTCTAGCCTGCAGTGGGGTACTCTATAGCGAGTACAGCCCAATCTAGGGTTTGCTATTTGTATCTCAACTGCTGCTAGTCCAAACCCTCTTTCTGCTTCTAAACTTTCTCCTACTACTTCTGACATGCTATCAGAGCAGGTCGACCCCCTTGGGTCGATCCTGTGGGTGGGCCCACCACCTAATGCGCGGCGGTTTCCCACCGTCGAAGTGCCCCCCGTCGCCCGTCGAAGCGCCCCCCCCCCCCGTCGCCCGTCGAAGCGCCCCCGTCGCCCGTCGGAGCGCCCCCCGTCGCCCGTCGAAACGTCCCCGTCGCCCGTCGAAGCGCCCCTGGGACCCGCGCGCGGCCCGTACGGGCTGCGCCAGGCCCGCGCGCGGCCCGTACGGGCTGCGCCAGGCCCGCGCGCGGCCCGGGCAGCCCGCGCGCGCCTCGTTTCGCCTGCGGCAGACCCGTGCGCGCGCCTCGTCCGTCCCCCAAGCTTCTGTCGGCGCCCCACCCCCGCTACTGCCCGCGTTCCTGTGTTAGGGTTTGGGGGTGGCGGGTGTGGGGGTGCCGGTTGTGTGCCCCGTCCCCTCCTTCTCCTCCTCCTCCGTCTCCCGCTGCTGCAGCTGCCGCTCAAAGGGGTGGGTGTGTGGGGAGCCGACGGAGTGGTACTAGGGGGGTGAAAGGGGAGTGGAGCTAGGGGCGAAGCAGGGGGTGTGTGTCGAGGGGTGTGGGACTGTTGGGGGAGGTTGAGCGGAGGCCGCCGTCGTGTCGTCTGCAGCGCCTGTATTCCGGGGTTCTGATAGCCACCGGTAGCTCAGAGAGCCGGTTGCACCTGTCGCCCGTGGGTCCGTTGCTCCTGTCGCTGCTGATCAGACGCAGAGCCTGTTACTCCTGTATTCCGGGGCCCTTGCTCCCGGTAGCCACTAGAGCTGCACCAGAGCCGTCTGTTGCCCGTGTGTCTGCAGCTTCAGTCGTCGCCTCCACTCTTCTCTCCTCTCGCCAGCCCTCCTCCTCCTCACTTGCCCTCTGTGACTGCCTCTAGCTTTGCTCATAAAATGTGAACTACTATTATGACTGCTTGTTGTGCTGATTACACCCCACTTTGGCTATGGGGGTGTGTCAGAATGTTGTATTTGTCTAGCCTGCAGTGGGGTACTCTATAGCGAGTACAGCCCAATCTAGGGTTTGCTATTTGTATCTCAACTGCTGCTAGTCCAAACCCTCTTTCTGCTTCTAAACTTTCTCCTACTACTTCTGACATAACCTAGTGTTGTTAAAGTAGAAAACCTAATCTAGTGGACTGGCAAGAAATTGGTACTAATGGAATCGCTACAAACATAAGTAATGCGCTGGTCAGTTTGGTCGGTATGCGCGCCTGTATTGTAGGTACCATGCATGACCGGAATGCCTATATTTGGCAAATACATAGATTAAAAAGGTTAGAACTTGGTAGGGGGGTGGGGAATGATATACTTTGAAACCGAAATATAAAATAGTGAACCCTGTCCCATCTTGAAAGTGGCTGCCGAAAACGGGCCGATCGAGCACTGTTCCAAACAAAACAAAAAGCACCATGAGCAAATGTGATTGGCTGTCGCCAATCTTTGATTCTTCATGTTCCCGCCATTTTTTTTTTCCCTGCGGATCTCCTCAGTCGCATGTTTCGTGCTACACCTGCACGACTCTTGCCAAGCGATGGTTTCGATCGCCAGGCCAAAGTTGGTTTCAAGCTGGAACTGGGTTTCATGCTAGCTGCTCTCCGTCCCGTAATCACTAGTTTCATTCCTAGCATATTATAGCTGACAATAGGTGTTTGTGGCCAAGCTAAGGAACTAACGACCCAACAGGAATGCGTAAGACTGTTACGTAACGTTGTATCGTAATTTTATTCCCCTCCGTAGCCGACCGTTACCCTTCCGCAGGTGTTAGTTTCCTGTATCGCGCCTTCGTCATCTCCCCTACCCTCCAGTCGTTCGTCCGCTTTCCACTCCCCTCCCACCTTCGCAGGTCTCTCTCTCTCCCCCCGTCACCATCTCTTTCTCCCCTCGCGCATGCATTCGTCGGCCCATCGCTCACCGCGTCGTCTTTAGCTCCCGTCGCCTTAGCGCTCTCCCTCTCGTCGCATGCGCGCTCTCCCTCCCGTCGCCTTAGCGCACACTCTACGGTCGCCTTAGCGCTCTCTCTACCGTCGCCTTAGCGCTCTCCATTTCGTCGCCTTAGCGCTCTCCATTTCGTCGCCTTAGCGCTCTCCATTTCGTCGCCTTAGCGCTCTCCATTTCGTCGCCTTAGCGCTCTCCATTTCGTCGCCTTAGCGCTCTCCATTTCGTCGCCTTCGTGCTCTCTCTCCCGTCGCCTTCGCGCTCTCCATCCCGTCGCCCTTGCAATCTCCCCTCCCATCCGGTCGTTCCTCCCTCCCCTCGCCATCGCGCTCACGTTCCTCCCCTCCCCTCGCCATCGCGCTCACGTTCCTCCCCTCCCCTCTCCATCGCGCTCACGTTCCTCCCCTCCCCTCGCCATCGCGCTCACGTTCCTCCCCTCCCCTCGCCATCGCGCTCACGTTCCTCCCCTCCCCTCGCCATCGCGCTCACGTTCCTCCCCTCCCCTCGCCGTCGCGCTCACGTTCCTCCCTCCCCTCGCCATCGCGCTCACGTTCCTCCCCTCCCCTCGCCATCGCGCTCACGTTCTTCCCCTCCCCTCGCCATCGCGCTCACGTTCCTCCCCTCCCCTCTCCATCGCGCTCACGTTCCTCCCCTCCCCTCGCCATCGCGCTCACGTTCCTCCCCTCCCCTCGCCATCGCGCTCACGTTCCTCCCCTCCCCTCGCCATCGCGCTCACGTTCCTCCCCTCCCCTCGCCGTCGCGCTCACGTTCCTCCCTCCCCTCGCCATCGCGCTCACGTTCCTCCCCTCCCCTCTCCATCGCGCTCACGTTCCTCCCCTCCCCTCGCCATCGCGCTCACGTTCCTCCCCTCCCCTCGCCATCGCGCTCACGTTCCTCCCCTCCCCTCGCCATCGCGCTCACGTTCCTCCCCTCCCCTCGCCGTCGCGCTCACGTTCCTCCCTCCCCTCGCCATCGCGCTCACGTTCCTCCCCTCCCCTCGCCATCGCGCTCACGTTCCTCCCCTCCCCTCGCCATCGCGCTCACGTTCCTCCCCTCCCCTCTCCATCGCGCTCACGTTCCTCCCCTCCCCTCGCCATCGCGCTCACGTTCCTCCCCTCCCCTCGCCATCGCGCTCACGTTCCTCCCCTCCCCTCGCCATCGCGCTCACGTTCCTCCCCTCCCCTCGCCGTCGCGCTCACGTTCCTCCCTCCCCTCGCCATCGCGCTCACGTTCCTCCCCTCCCCTCGCCATCGCGCTCACGTTCCTCCCTTCCCCTCGCCATCGCGCTATCGTTCCTCCCCTCCCCTCGCCATCGCGCTCACGTTCCTCCCCTCCCCTCGCCATCGCGCTCACGTTCCTCCCCTCCCCTCGCCATCGCGCTCACGTTCCTCCCCTCCCCTCGCCATCGCGCTCACGTTCCTCCCCTCCCCTCGCCGTCGCGCTCACGTTCCTCCCTCCCCTCGCCATCGCGCTCACGTTCCTCCCCTCCCCTCGCCATCGCGCTCACGTTCCTCCCCTCCCCTCGCCATCGCGCTATCGTTCCTCCCCTCCCCTCGCCATCGCGCTCACGTTCCTCCCCTCCCCTCGCCATCGCGCTCACGTTCCTCCCCTCCCCTCGCCATCGCGCTCACGTTCCTCCCCTCCCCTCGCCATCGCGCTCAAGTTCCTCCCTCCCCTCGCCATCGCGCTCACGTTCCACCCCTCCCCTCGCCATCGCGCTCACGTTCCTCCCCTCCCCTCGCCATCGCGCTCACGTTCCTCCCCTCCCCTCGCCGTCGCGCTCACGTTCCTCCCTCCCCTCGCCATCGCGCTCACGTTCCTCCCCTCCCCTCTCCATCGCGCTCACGTTCCTCCCCTCCCCTCGCCATCGCGCTCACGTTCCTCCCCTCCCCTCGCCATCGCGCTCACGTTCCTCCCCTCCCCTCGCCATCGCGCTCACGTTCCTCCCCTCCCCTCGCCGTCGCGCTCACGTTCCTCCCTCCCCTCGCCATCGCGCTCACGTTCCTCCCCTCCCCTCGCCATCGCGCTCACGTTCCTCCCCTCCCCTCGCCATCGCGCTCACGTTCCTCCCCTCCCCTCTCCATCGCGCTCACGTTCCTCCCCTCCCCTCGCCATCGCGCTCACGTTCCTCCCCTCCCCTCGCCATCGCGCTCACGTTCCTCCCCTCCCCTCGCCATCGCGCTCACGTTCCTCCCCTCCCCTCGCCGTCGCGCTCACGTTCCTCCCTCCCCTCGCCATCGCGCTCACGTTCCTCCCCTCCCCTCGCCATCGCGCTCACGTTCCTCCCCTCCCCTCGCCATCGCGCTATCGTTCCTCCCCTCCCCTCGCCATCGCGCTCACGTTCCTCCCCTCCCCTCGCCATCGCGCTCACGTTCCTCCCCTCCCCTCGCCATCGCGCTCACGTTCCTCCCCTCCCCTCGCCATCGCGCTCAAGTTCCTCCCTCCCCTCGCCATCGCGCTCACGTTCCACCCCTCCCCTCGCCATCGCGCTCACGTTCCTCCCCTCCCCTCGCCATCGCGCTCACGTTCCTCCCCTCCCCTCGCCGTCGCGCTCACGTTCCTCCCTCCCCTCGCCATCGCGCTCACGTTCCTCCCCTCCCCTCTCCATCGCGCTCACGTTCCTCCCCTCCCCTCGCCATCGCGCTCACGTTCCTCCCCTCCCCTCGCCATCGCGCTCACGTTCCTCCCCTCCCCTCGCCATCGCGCTCACGTTCCTCCCCTCCCCTCGCCGTCGCGCTCACGTTCCTCCCTCCCCTCGCCATCGCGCTCACGTTCCTCCCCTCCCCTCGCCATCGCGCTCACGTTCCTCCCCTCCCCTCGCCATCGCGCTCACGTTCCTCCCCTCCCCTCTCCATCGCGCTCACGTTCCTCCCCTCCCCTCGCCATCGCGCTCACGTTCCTCCCCTCCCCTCGCCATCGCGCTCACGTTCCTCCCCTCCCCTCGCCATCGCGCTCACGTTCCTCCCCTCCCCTCGCCGTCGCGCTCACGTTCCTCCCTCCCCTCGCCATCGCGCTCACGTTCCTCCCCTCCCCTCGCCATCGCGCTCACGTTCCTCCCCTCCCCTCGCCATCGCGCTATCGTTCCTCCCCTCCCCTCGCCATCGCGCTCACGTTCCTCCCCTCCCCTCGCCATCGCGCTCACGTTCCTCCCCTCCCCTCGCCATCGCGCTCACGTTCCTCCCCTCCCCTCGCCATCGCGCTCACGTTCCTCCCCTCCCCTCGCCATCGCGCTCACGTTCCCCCCCTCCCCTCGCCATCGCGCTCACGTTCCTCCCCTCCCCTCGCCATCGCGCTCAAGTTCCTCCCTCCCCTCGCCATCGCGCTCACGTTCCACCTCTCCCCTCCCATCCCGTCGTTCGCCTCCTCTTCCCTCCCATCCCGTCGTTCGCCTCCTCTCCCCTCCCATCCCGTCGTTCGCCTCCTCTCCCCTCGCATCCCGTCGTTCGCCTCCTCTCCCCTCCCATCCCGTCGTTCGCCTCCTCTCCCCTCCCATCCCGTCGTTCGCCTCCTCTCCCCTCCCATCCCGTCGTTCGCCTCCTCTCCCCTCCCATCCCGTCGTTCGCCTCCTCTCCCCTCCCATCCCGTCGTTCGCCTCCTCTCCCCTCCCATCCTGTCGTTCGCCTCCTCTCCCCTCCCATCCCGTCGTTCGCCTCCTCTCTCCTCTTTCTTCTCGTCGCTCCTCCGCTCTCCCCTCGCTGGCCGTTGTTCCTCTATCCGTTGGTGATACGTTGTCAAACTTATTTATCCCCCTCGTCTTACACTGTCCCTATTTTTAACCTCTCTCAGCCTCAAGTCCAAGGTCTCGCCATTTCTCACAGCTCTGCTGGGTCGTCGGCCCACCTTGGCATATGTGTGTGCTCTGGATTCTGTGTTGTTGATTGATGTTCGGTTTTGTTAAAGCCAGGGTCTCACGTACTACGAGTGCTTTGCAGTTGACAGTGCAAGTTTGTTTGTGATTGGCTAACGAGTTGTGAAGTTTGAAGAGGGGTGAAGCGAGGGGTACGAAACGAATCCAAATCGCTAGGTGTAGCCGAACCTCCTAGGTTTGGAGAATCGGTTCGGATCCAAACCTAAAATGCCCCAAACTCGTCGAAAGTCTCACGTACTCAAAACTTGTTGTGCAATTGCTTTTGAGACACTGACGGGAATAGGTTTCCAACCCAACCAAAGAGAAATTCGCCTGCACTAACGAGGTAACCTACCTTCGCCTGCCTACGAGTGCTTTGCAGTTGATGGCTGCTTTGCTTACTTGAGACCCTGGCTTTAAGTTCGATGACTGCTCCAGTGAATACAGGTTTTGAAACCTTGCGCCAAATTCGCACAGAAGAATGTGTGCATTGTGTGTGAGTTTCGCTGCCAATCAGAATTGTCCACTCGTTCCAAATGTTCCCCGTTCACAGCGAGACTCGTCAGGAGTGAAAAAATCAACAAGCACAGCACTTCGTTGTTTCCGAAACTGTTCAAAAAAACTTCAGTTTTCAAGTGGACCCAACTAGAAGGGGGGGGTCACTATTTTAGCTGCTGGCTTTAAAGGAAAAGAGAAATACATATGGTATTCACTGTTTTTGTATGGAGAAAATGATGCGTGGGTCAGTTTGGTCAGTGTGCACGCTTGTGTGCAGGTACAAGGCAGAGGTGGAGCTCTGAAATCTACCAAATTATGTGGATTTAAAAGGTTAGAACCTAGTGTTGTCGAAGTAGATAGCCTAATCTAGTGGACTCGCAAGAGAATGGTACTAATTGCATCTCTACAAACATAAGTAATGCGCTAGACAGTTTGGCGAGTATGAGCATATGTAGTGCAGGTACCATGCACGGCTGGAATGTCTGTATCTGGGAAATTACATGGATCTAAAAGGTTAGAACTTGGTAAGGGGGTGGGGAATGGTATAATTTAAAGGAAAGGAGAAGATCATATGGTATTCATTTTTTTTGTACAGAGAAAATGATGTGTGGGTCGGTTCGGTCAGTATGCACGCTTGTGTGCAGGTACAAGGTGGAGCTGGAGTTATGAAATCTTCAAAATTATGTGGATCTAAAATGTTAAAACCTAGTGTTGTTAAAGTAGATAACCTAATCTAGTGGACTAGCAAGAAAATGGTACTAATTGCATCTCTACAAACATAAGTAATGCGCTGGTCAGTTTGGTCGGTATACGCGACTGTAGTGCAGGTACCATGCACGACTGGAATGCCTATATTTGACAAATTTTATAGATCCAAAAGGTTAGAACTTGGTAGGGGGGTGGGGAATGGTATACCTTAAAGGAAAAGAGAATTACATACGGTATCAACTGATTTTGCACAGAGAAAATGATGCGTGGGTCGGTTCGATCAGTATGCGCGCTTGTGTGCAGGTACAAGGCGGAGCTGGAATTCTGAAATCTCCCAAATTATGTGGATCTAAAAGGTTAGAACCCAGTGTTGTTAAAGCAAATGGCATAATCTAGTGGATTGGCAAGGAAATGGTACTAATTGCATCTCTACAAACATAAGTAATGTGCTAGCCAGTTTGGTCGGCATGCGCGCCTGTAGTGCAGGTACCATGCAAGACTGAAATGCCTATATTTGGCAAATTACATAGATCCAAAAGGTTAGAACTTGGTAGGGGGGTGGAGAATGATATACTTTAAAGGAAAAGAGAAATACATACGGTATTCACTGTTTGATTACAGAGAAAATGATGCGTGGGTCCGCACATGTGGAGGAAGTGTAGCGGGCGCTCTTCATTCTCAAGGGCCAATGACCAATGATGCTCGCAACCCTTCCACGCCCTTGCTGGCTTGGCAAGAGGCCTAGACAAGTGCAGCCACGTAACCTGGTAGAAGAAAAACGCTCACTGCGAGCGCTTCTAGCCTCAAAACGCGCTAGGATCCGCACATGTGGAGGAAGTGCAGCGGGCGCTCTTCATTCTCAAGGGCCGATGACCAATGATGCTCGCAACCCTTCCACGCCTTTGCTGGCTTGGCAAGAGGCCTAGACAAGAGTAGCCACATAACTTGGTGGAAGAAGAACGCTCACTGCGAGCGCTTCTAGCCTGAAAACGCGCTAGGATCCGCACATGTGGAGGAAGTGCAGCGGGCGCTCTTCATTCTCAAGGGCCGATGACCAATGATGCTCGCAACCCTTCCACGCCCTTGCTGGCTTTGCAAGAGGCCTAGAAAAGCACATCCACGTGTCGAACATTATATATGTTGTGTTTGTTTAGGCTACAGTGGGTTAGCCTATATGGGGTACACAATTCTAGGGTTTGCTATTTGTACTGATTTCTCTGTTAGTTCAATCATTCCTGTCCGTTCATTCTGACATGGTTTCAGAGCAGGTCCTTCGCTAGGACCGTTTTTTTTTAAGGGCCCACCGCTACCTACCTACCTACCTACCTACCTACCTACCTACCTACCTAGGGCGCCTCGTTTTTCACGGCCCCCTAAGGCCCCGCGACCCGCGACCCGCCCCTTAGCGACCCGCGCGCCGCCCCTTAAGGCCTCGTCGGCCCCGCGCTTGCCCCTTACGGCCCCGCCGCGCCGCCCCTTAAGGCCTCGTTACGGCCCCGCGCTCGCCCCTTACGGCCCCGCCGCGTCGCCCCTTACTGCCCCGTCGGCCCCGAGCTCGCCCCTTACGGCCCCGCCGCTCGCCCCTTAGCGACCCCGTCGGCCCCGCGATCGCCCCTACCGGCCCCGTCGGCTCCGCGCTCACCGCCCTGCGCACCGCGCCGAGCCCGCGCAGCCCGCGTGGACGCCGCCCGCTGCCGTCCCGCGCACCGCCCGCGCAGCCCGCGCTGAGCCCTCGTAGCCTGCGCGCGGCTCGCTGCTGCCCCGTGCACCGCCCGCGCAGCCCGCGCCGCGCCTTCGCAGCCCGAGCCACGCCTTCGCAGCCCGCGCGCCGCCCCAGCAGCCTCGTGCGCCGCCCTACCTGCTTGTGCCGCACCTCCGCAGCCTGCAAGCAGCTCGCTACTGCCTTGCGCGCCGCCCTTGCCTGCTGCCACTGCTGCTACTACTCATGTTACTGCTGCTACTGCTACTGTTGCTGCTGCTCCTGCTACTACTGCTACCACTGCTCCTATTACTGCTACTGCTGCCACTACTATGGCTAGTCCTCCTGTACTCGCTTTCGATGCCGAGGGCCGCCCAGTGAAGTTCGACACCTGGCTAGATGACCTGCACCTCTTCCTCCAGCTCACTGCCAAGGAGGACGTTTCACTGTACGATCACGCCCTAGGCCATGCTACTGCCCCTCCTACCACTGCTGACAGCACTCAGCGCTCCCAGTGGCAGACTCGTGACGCCCACGCTCGCTTTGCCATTCGCAACTCCCTGCCGCTAGATGAGCGCGAGCACTTTGGCCAGCACAAGACTGCTAAGGATTTGTACACTGCACTCGTTGCTCGTTACTCTTCACCTGCTTCTGCCACACTCGGCCGCCTCACCCTCCCCTACCTGTTCCCCGACCTGGCCTCCCCTACCTGTTCCCCGACCTAGCACAGTTGCTGACCTCATCACCCACCTCAAGACTAGTGAGGCCCGCTTTCGCGCTGCTATGCCTGACGAGTTCCTTGCTAGCAACCCCCCCCGCTCTGGATCACTCTCTACCACATCGTCACCCGCCTCCCTGACTCTCTGCGCGCAGTCAGGGACCACTTCCTCGCTCGCTCCCCCACTGAGCTCACCATTGCCCTCCTCGAGAAGGAACTGCTTGCAGCTGAGGCGAGCATCGTCGCTGTAGGCACCTCTCGTGGCGACCCCCGCACCCCGTTCTTTGAGGGGTGTTCCCCTTCCCCCCTTCTCCCCTCTGTAGCCTCTGCTGCTGCTGTCGACCTCCTTGGTGCTGAGAAGGTCGGGACCGCGTCTGCTCCGAGCGGGCGCCGCAGGAGCAAGGGGGGCAAGGGTGGAGGTGGCGGCGGGGGAGGCGGGGGTGGAGGCGGTGGGAGTGGAGGTGGGGCTGGAGAGGCTAGTGGCGGCAGTGGGGGTGGTGACAGCAGCGGCGGGAGCGGTGGCAGGGGCGGAGGCGGCAGCGGAGGTGGAGGTGGTCGTGGCGGCGGCAGGGGTGGAGGTGGCCGAGGCGGTGGCGGCGGCGGTGGTGGTCGTGGAGGCGCTGGCAGTGGTCAGAGCTAGCAGCACGCCCCGTCGCTCCAGGAGGCCCGTGAGTGGTATTCGCAGCGGGGGGGGGCGGGTGGCTTTACCTGCACGTACGTCATCCGCACTGGTGACCGCACTGGCCAGACGTGTGGGAGGCCGCACCCCACGCAGCGCTGTTTCTCGCGCCTTACCGACGCTTGGCGCGCCCAGTTTCCTGATGCCACTGAACTGCCCCGCTGGGCTGATCTGGAGAGGAAGGGAGTTGATATCTGGGCTCTAGACTTTGATGCTATTCTCACTGCCATGTATGCGATGTTTACTAGTGGAGAGGGTGCTCAGTACTTGCGTGTTCCGCCCGACCCGGGCATTCTGACCAGTCCGGCTGCCGCTCTAGGTGCTAGTGAGTCTGCTGCCCCAGGTCCTGGTGAGGCTGCTGCTCTAGGTGCTCGTGAGTCCGTGCCCCCTGGTACTGAGTCGACTGCAGCACTGCACACCTTCACATTGGACTCAGGTGCTTCTCGCTGTTTCTTTCGTGACCGCACTGTCCTTGAGCCACTCGCTCGGCCAGTTGCTGTCTCCCTCGCTGACCCCTCTGGGGGTCCGGTCATTGCAACCTCCTCCACTGTCCTTCCTTGTCCTGCGGTCCCGTC